GACGTGCACAAAGTGCCACGTTCAAGGTCATAAAAGAACTCAGTGTAGAGCTAGATAATAAATTATATTTTTCAAGTTTTATCTTATTTTATTACGTTGTTGTGACTCAATTGCGTAGAACGTCAGGTCAAGTTTGGTGGGGTGGGCCACTTACTGGGGTGGGCCGCTTACTGGTGGAACACGTTAAATGAAAGATCTGACTAAGCCCCACCGCGTCCTCATGCTTCTCGAGTCTACTAACGCCGATTCCTATCTATTCGACTATAGGAACTGTTCAGACGTGCAATTACGCAACGCCCATACCAACAAACACCAAGAGTGCCACATTCATAATCACAATAACACCCCAAATTAGGAGCCCAAAAACCGTAGTAACCCAACCATTCCTCATCTGAACGTGTCGTTCTCCCTCGCCTTCGGCCCCAGCTGGCCTATTATCATTGCGGACAGCCACTCTCATGTACTTCCCCCGGCACGTAAACCAAATTAAGGGAGCGCTGACAAAAGGTAAGATAATGCTTAGCGCTACCTGAGAGCCTTGGAGGGCTTTGCCAAGTCCTTTTCGGCCAACAGCACCAGCAATGATGATGCTAGGTGTGATACTAATTGAACGGGTGATAAGGCGACGGAGCCATGGTCTGAGTGACCAGTTGAGCTGGCCTTCTGAAACCATTTGACCGGAAATTGTGCAAATGATGCCGGCTGAAATACCAGACAGTAGCAAGGCTAATGCAAACAAGGTACCGGCAATAGGTGCAATAGATTGAGAAAGAAGGTTATGAATCGAGAAGATGTCCGCGTTGTCGGCTTCGGGACGGCCGTAGAGAGATGCCCCAGCGACGATTAAGATGGAGCTGTTGACGAAAAGGGCAAAAGTAAAGAGGGAGACTGCTAGTTCGACAATGCTGTATGACATGCATGACTGAATGGCAGCCAAAGAGGGCCTGTATTTGATTCGGTCGTTGATAGAGCCCGTCTCGAGTATTTCAGCTGTGCTGTTAATCTTATCAAATTCGCGTAGACGCGGCTGGACAATGCCGCTTCCTAAGAAAAGACTGTGAGGCATGACAGTAGCCCCAAGGATACCACAAGACTGGTATAGACTTATGGTTGTTAACAAACAATCAACCTAACTATTGAGTTCTCACTCACGCTTGTGACTGGACTAGGGCAGAAGAAGGCAGGTAGCCACGGAAGACCTCTCCAACAGAGGCTTTGATTTTGGTGAGTTCAAAGCAGAAACAGATAACGACGCCGAGGATTAAGAGTACCACGAAGAACTCGAAGGCTCTTAGAGAATGCATTGTACCAGCAGGGCGGTAAAACATCAGAATGACGAGCACGTCGACAATGGATATAGCGCAGCCTGCGACAAGAGGGATATTAAAGAGGAGATTAAGAGCAATAGCAGTGCCAATAACCTGTTGCAGTTAGGGAGAAGGAAGTTTATCGAAGAATATAGGACATACCTCTGCAATATCGGTAGCAATGATTGCGGACTCTGCAAAGAAGTAAAGAACATAGTTAAGCCACGACGGGAGATGAGCCTTGCAGTTCTCAGCAAGGTTCATTCCCGTGACGGAGCCTAGCTTGATGCATAAGGATTGGAGGAAGATCGCGAAAATATTGGACATTAACACGATGAACAATAGTCTGAACCTGAAAGAAGCACCGGCAGCGACATCAGTCGCATAATTTCCTAAAGCAAAGAATCAGCAACCACCTAGAAGGCAATCGAAGAGGGAATGCCAGCTACAAGAAAACATCCCTACCAGGATCGATATATGCAACAGCGACCATAAAGCCAGGTCCAATGAATCTTGCATATTTGAGTAAGACTGCTAAAGCCCCTCTAGCGAGCTCACAAATCGTCATGTGCCAGTTATCAATCAACTTGTCAGTATTTCCACCTGGGCCGCCAGATGGTGAATTAGTGACAGCGCCAGAGTCTTTATCTTCACCCATTACAATATTGCTCTGACCGTCTAACGCCTTCGACTTGGTTGTGCTGTCTGCTCCCTTGACTTTATAGTGTTCGGCTAGTTCTTTCCTAGCTACAAGCGCGTCCACAGGGTTTATTCTGTAATCTCTTTGCAGTTTGGCATTTGCTATATGGTTGAGGTCAGCCCTCGTCGTTGCGTCGGCATTGAGGGCATCTGGGTTCTGGTTCCAGCCCTCTGTGTAGATGGAATCGGCTTGCGAGGGGCAGTTCATGGCGGCGAGAGAGGTTCAGGCCACACTGAATACAAAGATGTGCGAAAGAAGGTTTAAGGTTGGGGATAATTTGCTATTCGCAAGCTTGGCATGTCACTAGAATGTCTCCGACAATGCATGGACCTTATGTCTAACTACCGTGCTCCACCACCTCGCGGACGCGCGGCCTCACCAAAACTACCTCAAAAACGAGGCTGTAGAGCCACACTAAAAGGATATCATCTCGATTTCTATAGCTATATACATATATCAAGGCCTATTAACCTCACCACTTAAATATATCGAGATGATATCCTTTTAGTGTGGCTCTACAGCCTCGTTTTTGAGGTAGTTTTGGTGAGGCCACAAGCTTGGCGCGGTGAAAATTACGCCGTAGACGGTTCTATACTAGCCATATGCGGAAGCTGCTCGCTGGAGAAGTACCGACAGGGGTGGCGATCACGCATGGATATGAGCGCCACGCCGCACCAAGGGCTGAGATTGGCTCTGTAGCGTGGCCGAAGGTTTCCTCAGTGCATACAACCTTATTTCTTAGTGTAGGGGTGCAGTAGAGCGAGATGGAGGCTATCTGTAGCGGTGTCACTGCTTTTCTCTTGAAAAGATGTCTTTTGCGGATCAGCGCGGATTTCACAACAGTAGCGTAATTTTTGTAAGGAGAGATGTCTACACCTATAGAAGAAGGCAAAAGATATGACCTATCTATGGATATAGTATGATAACAACGTGCGAATAGAAATATTGTTTTCTGAAGACAAAGTACCCCTCTTTTCTTGCGGCACGGGGGGATTTGCGTTACCCAGGGAGGGATGTTAACCCATTTATCTCATCCCTTCAAGACTACTCATCTTTGACCCAATACTCATCCTTTACCATCTCTGACATCGTTGCTCTCTTAGCCAGATTGAGAATGGTCATCATTAAGATTCAACCTCTTTGCTTCGTCCGTGAGTTTAGGGACCGCGTTCTCCGCCCAATTTCAATGACTGCACTCTTGTGATGACGTACAGAGACACTTAGATCAGGCAAATCAATAAGTTTATTGCAAAAGACCGTGATGTCTTTTCAAATTCGGGCTGTAAACAAGCCACCTTGGTGATTTTTTGGGGTGGGTGGGGGCGCGTTGCGGTCAACAAGACGTTACTGCAGAATGAAATCGGGTTTACCCAGAGGTCGCAGTCAAGCTTACCTAGGCGCCAAGCCTTGTTTGAGCTTGGAGCACGGCTGGTGAAGGTGAAGGTGCTTGAATAAGGGCAGGGGTGTAGGATTGAGGAATCGATAATTCAGAAGCGGAATAGAGGGTCAAAAAAAATATGATATTCTTTATCTGGCACGACGAAGGAGTTGGGCTATGGCAAACATAAAGGGGTAGGCGTACTATCTTCCTTACTCAGTAGGAAAGTAGGGTGGATGAGGAGTTTTTTCCCGTGGGATCATTATGTTGTATTCGTCTATCAATCATAGATCCTTATGCTGGTGTAACTAATTTCCGGTCTATAAACTTCACCTTTAGTTCTACCGGCCTAACAAACCAGCCGTTGCGGAAACGAGCTTCACGCGACCCTTCTTCCAATTCAAGCTTGAGGCAATAGATTAGCCATTTTTGGACGTAGAAAACAACGCAGGAGAACGAAGGGGGTTTAAACTCACCTCGAATCTTCGAAGAACAGCTGGAATGAGCTTGTAAACTTCCATCATGCCAATGTGTTTTCCAAGGCACACACGTGGCCCTTTGCCAAAACTCATAATGTAATAATCCATGTCTTTGATTCGAGCGATTTCGGACTCGCGGTCTTTGGAGGGGTCTACGAGCCAGCGCTCGGGCACGAAGTCGTCGAGGTTGTCTCCGAAAATCTCGGGTCGACGATGGATAACCCATGCATTGCACCCGACGATTGTTCCTCCTTTAATGAACTCACCGTCGATCATCACTCCCTCGGGTGGAACAACTCGCTCGAACGGCAAGCCTGGGGCGGGGTGGAGGCGGAAAGCTTCTTTGATGCAGGCATCAAGGTAGGGAAGTCCCTGGCTCTCTTGCCACGTGACTGTTCCTGTTGCGTTATCTTTGAAGTGGCCTTGTGATGCTTTGCGATCAAGCTCTTCATACACCTTTTCCAAGCATCTCGGGTTTCTCAGAAGCGAGCCGAAAACACCACTCATTGATACGGCTGCAGGCTCGGATCCAGCAAAAGCCATGGAGACGCACATGGTAACGACAAGTTGATCGTTGAAAAAGTCTGGTCTGTCATGCTTGGCCTGGATGAACTTGGAGAGGAAGTCCTGTGGCATATTCGTATCGTTTCTTTGCCAAGCAAGATTCTCCTTCGAGAAGACCGTTCCAGAAGGATGCCGTTCGGCAAGGCGGGCCTTTGCGAAGCTTGCGACAGGATACGAAGAGTCGATCAGTCCGTACTTGGCTGCAAGCAACTTAATTGGGTTCTTTTTCCACAACTTGTCTAGAACAGGAATCTGTCCCACCTTTTTGCTGACCGTTAGTCGATACATGGAGAAGAAGAAAAAGCAATATAAATTCTTACGTACCACGGCAGCATAGTCGAATAGGGCCGAGTTTCCTTTGACGATTCCCTCGATATCATAGTTACTCTCCAAAAAGCCATGCCTTTTAGAGTAAACTAGTTCACCGATAACGTCGAAAGTGTAGAATTGGAGCCACTGGTAGAAATCGCAATATTTACCAGTGTTCGAAAATCGTTCCTGTGTCTGGTGGAGAAATACGTCGTTGACAGAGTCAAAAATAGGCTCATACTGCATCTGGGCCGACATGGAAAAGACACTGTTAACGCTGCGCTTCAACTGTGAGTGATATTCTTCCGACTGGGTGCTAAATAGTGTTGGTAGCTTCTTTCCTTCCTTTGAAGTGGCCATCTGTACGGGGTAAAAGTCTGACTAGCCAGGGTTTAGCATGAGAGAATAGATCAGACAAGATAGTAACATGACTGTACCTTTGTAAAGCCTTTGCCCAAAGCGTATATAGCTTTTACAGATTTTGGGTTGGAAAAGGACAGGCAGTTTGGCCCAAGGCGGACGATATCTCCATGTTTGTTATGCAAATCTATATGCCACTGTTCAGGTCGTCTCTGCCATGCCTTGAAAAACCTGTACCAGTCGGTGAAAGCGCATGCCAGCGGTCCTGGATACTTGTTCAAATCTCGATTATAGTAGTTGCGGGCTAGATAAATGAACCCAGAGAATACGAGAGCCAGAGGCAAATATTGACTCAGCGTACGAGTGAGGATATCTGTGAGCATATTCAGAGGCGCTTTTGCTTCTGTATGCGATGTAATGGAGCAATCTGGTACGATTTATACATGAATTACACACGCCTCGCAGGGCATCTTACTGACCTCCGAACCCATCTGCCGAATGAGCCCTGTACATACAGGTACGAAAATATTTGATGTGGGGACAGCAGCCAAGGAGCAGATCCGGTCCGAATTAGGATACCCGATTGGTTTTAATATGAAGTGAAGCCACCTTCCACAGCTGTTATAGCTTTGCATTAATTTTTTATAACTAGTCCTTGTCAGTAATGGCAATGTTTCTGATGTGATGGCCTTCTAGGGCTCTACCGCAAATCTCAAAAGTTACTACGAGCGAGGGAGAGACGCTACGGGCTGATTCATCTTTACCCAGTAAAAAGAGGTTACCCTAAAGCTATAGTGAGACACCCGAGGTGACGATCTTGGTGAACTGTAAGACAAGATATTTTTAGCTAGCATACTGAGGGCTTAATCTATCTGAAGTCCTGCTAAGTAAGAACAGGATAAGTCTCGGGGATTAAACACTTTCGTATCTGTATGTAGGTGACAAAGCGCATTGCTTTGCCAAGGAGGCCGAAATGGCACCGGTCATGCCAGGGGGTTCTTATAGCAAAAACTAGCAATATAGGGACTTGCCTCGGTTAGATCGATAGACTAACTGCGTGTCTCTATCTTGCAGAGCAGGGTATTCTGTACACTGAGGAATTAGAGTTTTTGGAAACTGAGTACTCGCCCCAGACCTATGTTTTGGGATTGTTTAGTGGCTAGAAATCGGATAATGTGATGTAGAGTAGCTATTCGTTATCTTCTCTGACACTTTCCTTTACTCTACTTTCATGGCCATAGCAATAGCAGAAAATCCTATGCCCAACTCCGAGAGTTGTAACCTCGACTGTACCATGTGGTGCTACCTCGGTGATGTTATGGCGCTGGTATTGCTAGGGCTTACTTACCCCGTTTGGGTATAGCGCCTTGACTGGGATTCTGTACTTAGCCTCACCTCCCACAGTTCCGAGATAAAAACACTTGTACTATACTGTTTTGATACCCTGTCCCTTTTGGTGGCCGTCCGGGCCGTGACAGGTGATACTGCTAAGCGACCGTCAGTGAGTGATGGGTTCTAGCCAAGGCGGAATATCGAGTAGGCCCAGGTAGTTCCTCAAGAGGACTGGAAAAGCCAATCGGATCATGTCTTATTATCGGTGTAGCTTATGCCGGATCTAGTAGTGATCAAAGATTGCAAACGGACGATGCCAAGAAGTGGTTGCATGTAATGACCCACCCATCATTCGAGCTTGGCCCATTTACGTTTCGCTCTGCTGTATGTACAGGCACAATATCGAGTTACCCGACCTAGAGCCCGGCGCACTACGTAACGTTCTTCCCCCCCCCCCGCCACCGCCTACCCGCATGGATGAGAGACGGCCCGCACCGATAAGAGGAATTTACATGCACGGGCGGAAGCTGCACCTGCTATCCCCGAGAAAATAGCGAAGAATAAGACCGATGTACACGGCTAAGATGGTACGTGGAATCTTGCCATGTACTGGGGGACACTATTCGGCAACTAGGGATCTGGCTTGAATCGCAATGCAACTATAATTCAGACTACGCCAACCCTTTGCTCGACTGCAAGTGTCCCTTACGCGGAAAAAAAAATCCTTAACCTTATTTGCCTTGGTCCGCACCCAAGGCTAGTTGCAGAGAGTCATGAATCCTGAG